TAAAAGTTCAAGTGCGGGGATGTTTGATATGCACTACTTAGTAGTGCATAAGTGTATGATTTTATGATTGATTTGTGTGGATTGTTTACCATTTTAATTAGTTTGTAAACATTTGTATGATTTTAGTTGTATTTGTATTTTAGTTCTCATTTGTAAGTTGTAAAGTAGAGTTAGGATTTATGGTGTTGGAAAGGAAGACTTTGAAGTGAAGGAAAACGGAGATTAGACTTTCCAGGAGCTGAAACCCGACCGGGTAGAACACTTCACCCGGTCGGGTAAGATTTAAATAGACGAAGATAGCTGAAAATTACACAGACCCGGTCGGGTCCCTTACTTGACCCGGTCGGGTCAGATGTGACCCGAAACACCAGGACATGTCGAAGATCGCCAGAATGGGGAAAAATCTGATTTTGACCGAACGCGGTCGGGTCAACTAGGGGACCCGGTCGGGTCAGACACGACCCGGGACCAAACGACGTGCAGAAACATGAGAGCATGGCGAAATATTTGATTTTGACGTTTACCCGGTCGGGTATGTCCATTTACCCGGGCGGGTCAATGCCCCTGGGTGTTGAAAACACCTATAAATAAACCCATTTTCCTTCCATTTTGATCATCCTTTCTTCCATATACTTAAGCTCAGTTTAGAATAGTTATTTCTTATATTTTTATAGCATGTTTAGTCTCCAAATGAGGAGCTAAACTTCCATTTCTTGGTTTTGCTTTTGAAGTTTGTTGATTATTAAAGTTGTGAGTTATTTTCTTACTTTCTCCTCTTGATTATTAATTTTTCCCTTAATCTCATTCTATATTAATGTTGGAGGGTGGCTAAGTGACGATTAGTTAACGTTCCGACATTAATTACTACTAGAAACGATCAACGAACCGATGGTTAATCGTTGATGGTTTCACAAGTAAGTAACTTCGGTTTATTAATGCACGGTCGTGGTTAATAAACTTAAGAGGGATTAATTTTGTTGGTTAAACCGAAACCGTTGTGTTGAGGTTATCAATCTCAATTGATTTCATCAAGGAGTTAAAGAGGTTAAACGCTACTATTATATCGGTATACGGCGTTGTTCTATATTTGACTAATAGTAAGGGTTATTAATGAACGGTCGTTGTTAATAACTACCCTCGATGAATTGGATATACTCCTCGATTGAGTATTCGAGAGGGGATAAGTTATAGATATAACAATGATCGACTAAAATATATCAAAAAGTGGAAAGTAGCAATGCCAAGTCCTTTTTATCTTTGAATTAAATCTCATATAAGTCCCTCATCTTAGTATTTAATTAATTAAATTCCAACAATACCAAAACCCCCCTTTTATTTACTAGTTCATAAAAATAGAATTATTCCTTTCCCTGTGGATACGAACTCTACTTCACTATACTACGTATTAGTGCTAGTATTGAATTTATTTTGACGCACCGTGACAAAGTGCACGTCAAATACGTATAAGGGTATATTTGTCCAAGACACACATAATTAATCCTATAAAAACATAGTTTATTTTTTTATTCTATTTGTACAATGTGAGTGACTTTTAGTGTTATTTTGATAATTAACTCTTAACTTTATATACATTCTGATTAATTGTCAAATGTTTTGCCAATTCCTGAACTTCCGTAAGAAGTTCAGTCAAGGACTCCAATATGTATGTGGTAGTACAATCCCATAAAAAATGGAATAGTCGAGCCAGAGTAATGTGTATAGCTTGAACCGTAGTTCAGAGTCGCTTGTTAGTTAACTGTTGTAACTAATTCCCCGTAAAGAGTTTAAGGTTTAGGTAAAATGTTCGTTCGTCCGTGGTGGACATTTTGCATCCTATTTTTGTTCTCTATTTGAGTTTTGAAGTTTTTAGTTGTTGTGACTTGTGCCTTGTGAGTGATTAGTTAACAAATGCGTCTGGAAATTGGGTTTACGGAAAATTGAAGCCCAAACAAGATATTATTAACTTTGCATTATTAATGATGGTCCAATTCTTAACTAGCCTAGGTTGATTAAAAAAAGAAAAAATCCCACTAATATTACTCTTTGAAAAGTAGCGGACAAAAATGTTACTTGGTAACTTTTAGTGACTATAATTGTGTTCAAAGTTACTACGGTATAGTGATTAATTACGATAGATAGAAACATTGAACACAATTATAATCACTAAAGTTACTAAGTCACATTTTTGTCCATGACTTTTTTCTTAGTCATATTTTAGGAAAAACTCAAAAAACAAATGGGTGGGGGGGGCGGGGGGTGCAAATTGTTTTGCACTATTTGACTTCCATTTTATAAGTTTTTATTATAAAATGACCCTGACACTCTTAATTTAAAAAAAAAAACTCAAAAAACAAAACTAACCTAGGTTCAAATAAAATTATTTAATCGGTGTATCCAATTTTTCATGAAACAACGCATCACACAATTTTATCTTAATATTCATGTTACATAAGAACATTGGGCATTTCGTATCGCGCAACGCGCGTCATAATAACTAGTAATATATATAAACGACAGTAGTTAATTTGTACGTAATATGATTTTTATGGTCCACACTCCACACCTTTCAGAGTTCAGACTTATTATAACCTCAAAACTTTCAAATGATATTCAAACTCAACAATTCTCATTCACACCAAATAATCTATTTTTTAGTTTTTTATGTCTTACACTTTGCTATTACATCTACTTTTGCAAATAATATATATTCATATTTGTTCTCCGTTTATTCTACAAAAACAATGATGTGAGTTTTCTCGCACTTAAAATAGATCGTAATATAGTGGTGTAAGTACGAGTATCGTCTCCACATGGACGGACAAATGTGAATTAAAGATTAACTAAATTCAACGATTAAAAAGAAATAAATAAAATAAATGCGTCGTGCGAGATTGGTAGGTTGAATTGAAATTAAAATAATGCGAAAGAGCTATTAAAATGAAAGATTGGTTTCTCTCTAATAAACGACGAAGAGAATAGAGATTGATTCCGGGATAACCAGATTTCTGGCAGATCAGGCTTAATTACATGAAATTAATTTAATTGAGTCTAGCTAATCATTACTAAGTTCTTACCGCTCTCGCGGCGTAGAGTACAATAATTTAGGGAACCAGGCTGATCTCTCATGCGACAAGATCCTAAATTATTGTCAACACGAGCAAGCTTATGGCCCCCTAATCACTACTAATCTCTTAGTGAACGATTAAGTGTGTGTGAATGTGTCCTAGAATAAATTAGATCTCTCTTAATTTATTCTATAAGCAATTGTAATTCGAGCCGCGGTTCCAGGTTACAAAAGATATCAGTTAAATTATTCAAACACAAATTAAATGGAACTCATGCAATTAATCCGTCAAGAATCTAGCCATACATCATGATCAACCCCTTTATCAACCCCATATCCCTAATTAAACTACTCACAATTCATAATTGAAGAATCAACAGAATTGGGATGAATAGAATTAATTGTCATTAATTAAAAAGGTGAACTTACAAATAATCTCAGGGTCTTGGAGTAAACAATGATAAAAACGCAAGTAAATTCGTCCCCAGGCCTCTCCGTAATGTTCGTAACACTTAAACAGGAGAAAGGAGGCCTTATTTATAGAAAACAGATGAGTTTGGGCTGAACTGGGACTAAAAAGTTGTCAAAATCTGCATTTCTCCGCGTTTCGGACGTACGCACGATCGTGCGTCCCCTGCCACGCACGATCGTGCGTGGTTGGCAGTAGCCTCCTTGCTTTCTCGCCTCAGACGCACGATCGTGCGTTCCCCTACGCACGGCGTGCGTCAAACTTCCGAATTTGACAAAACCTCCCTCATGAAAGTTGTAGATAATGAAGTTATCTATCCACGCCAACTTGCAGAATTGGATTTGAATCATTCAATCAAGAGATATGAATAAATGGTGTAAGGTGTCATTCTGAAATCGCAACAGAGATCATCTGACTGCATCGTCTGTTTTCACCTTCTTCCTTTCATATTCTCGAAATAGTGTCTTCATATGATTTGTAGCCCTTGAAGTTGGCTTTCATATGGGATTTGAATCGTGTACATTGGATGCTTCTACAAAGAGATATGCTTGAACGATTGACAGGTCATCCTGATCGTCGTTTTCAAGCTCCATTCATCTTCGTTTGATCTCATAGCCAATCCTAGAGCTCTTTTGTCATCAAATCTTCATCGTAAACCTCTCGGTGACCTCCAAAGCTCTCAATCCACTCTCAAATGCATCTCGAATCATCCCTATTGCTCCTCAAGCGCCGGTGCCGAACTCTAAATTCCTGATTTTGACTCCAAATGACACAAAACTTGAACCAATGTCTGGTAAACATAACTTGAGCTAAAATTAAGACTTGCAAGTTTGGAAAACCATCAAAAGCCGATGCCGACACGCATCAAATGCGTGTCTAAATACGGACTTTCAAACAACCACACTAAATTATCTCCTACACTCATTCTCATATAATTTATCAATGGTTATTTTTAATGTAGCGCAAAGGAGTATTGCGGAGCATTAGACGTCACTAGGGATGGACTCGAGCCGGGTGGCCCGACTCGAAACCGGCCTGGCCCGGCACTGTTCCGGCCCAGCCCGGCCAGATGGCCCGATCAGTGACCAGTCCGGGTAGACTCGACCCGCTGGGGGTCCGTTCCGGGCTCGGGCCCCCCAAATCACGAACCTGCCCGACCGGTTCGGGCCTGGTTCCGGGCCTTTTTAATTTTTTCTTTTTCAATTTTTTTTACTTTTTGGGTTGGGCTGGGTATTTTGGGCCATTTGGGGTGGTTGGGGAGGGTTGGGGGTTAACTAGGAAAAGAGAGAGAGAAAAATAATAACTAAGGCATGGCCCGACCCGGAACCAGGGATTACCCGGGCCGGTTCCGGGCCCCCCATTCCTGAACCGGAGGCCCGACCGGGCCTAGGCCCGGACCCGGGCCCGAACCAGCCCGAGTCCACCCATAGGCGTCACTTATAACATTTGATTGTTTATTTTATGTACAATTTATACAATCCTATGTGTTTATGATAGTTGATTACATCAAGTCCCTACGAATTAACATATGTAGGGAAAAGAAACAGAAGTACACAATCAACAAACTCTACAAAGATTTTACATATACACAAAGATTACAATGTATTCAATATTCTCATCTAATCCTAATGTTACAACAGAATATTATCTATGAACCAAACCAGACCATCTTCTTAGGCAAAACTGTATATTGATATTTGATATATTAAGATACCAACATGGGCTACTCTTTAAATTAGTACTACCATCATATCCGACTCTCTACCACAGACAATACATTAGCGAGGATTGCATGAGGATTGCTTGAGCCACCGAACGCGGCCTTGCATCCTTACATGTTAGTCCCGACAAATGCTAGTCAAGAACTGGATCCCGGCACTTTAGAGAAGAATACACCTCACAGATATTTGTGAAACAATGACCTGTTCTCCATGCAATATGACATATTTTCATTCCATGGGATTTGTAGCGCCCAATCGTTAATCACATGTCCAACTTATTTTCAGTCACTTCGTGAAGAAAATGGGTTCTTGATATCACAATGACCTATTTTCTTCACGAAGTGACACAGGTTAGTAGGTGTTAATAACAAAGGATCCCACTTTTTTATTTTTTCCTTTTCATAGCAGGGCTGATTTTGTAGAACAATTTTCCTAGAATACCCCTCCCCTTGGCTGGCAATTTTCTCCCTCTCTCCGTAGAATCATTGCCACCATATATAACGACATCAATATCGGGTGGGGTAGTCTCTCCAGCAGCCTCTTGGAATTCATCTCTCAAGATCCTTAGTAATTCCGAAGCCATCATCTTCCCTTTGGTACTCCCATTGATGGATATAGAGAAAAGATCAGGAATACCACCTTCAGACATAACCAATTCACGATATTGAGATCTCTGAGAGCACAAAGAAAGAAGGACCGCCAAAGCGTGTTCTTGGTCCTCTGCATCATCACTCTCTAACACCTTCACAACAGAAGCGAAACACCCGTCAGTTTTGGCAACATAAAGTCTCGCGTCTTCACTGCTGCATAAGTTTTTCAAGATGCTAAGAGATTGTCTCGCCAAGTATGTGTCTTGGAAGAGTGGTACCAGTCCCTGGATTAACTTTGAGGTTTCAAATAATGGGCGGATGTTGTCGTTTCCGGATAAGTTGTAAATGATTTTAAATGAGGTCTCCAATAAATCTCTGTTTTCGGAGTTTAACATGTCAATGAGGCCAAGTGCACAGGAAGCCGCAATCTTGTACTGGCAGTGGTTATAAGAGGATAGTGTTTCTAAGATGGAGAGAGCTTCCCTGGAGGCATCTGTTGTAAGAAATGAAGCCAACAGTTCATATGCATTGTCATCCAAGCACCGGGTGGCACTACTACTGCAATAAGCAAAGAAAAATTCATTCAGTATACCGGAAACAGCATATACTGAAAAATTCATTCAGTATACCTTTTCTAATGAAGAAGATGTGGTATGGATCCCCAAAGAGTAAAAGGCCAAAATGTGAAATGATAATAAAAGTGTAAATTTAGAAAAGCATATAACTGCAAGAGTTCTATTTAGGAAATTGTTTAAATTTTTTGAATCAACAAAGAAAGATCATCTAACATAGTGGGACAGGGGGGTAACATATTATAAAACAAATTCACTCTAGCGAGATAATGAAAGAGTAAAGTAAATAGGCTACCTGAATTTCTTTAGGAACGTTGACAGCAACCGACAACCCAAAATCTGGGCCTTCCCATCCTGTGACTCATGTGCACTGTTCAAGAACCCCATCAGCGGTCCAACAAACTTCTCATAACATGTCCTCTTCTTCAAACCTTGATCAGCATCCTCATGTTTCAAAACTTCCCCAACATTTTCAACCACGACGCTTTGAGATTCCCAGGAAAGCAATTCCAAACCGTACAATGACTCCAAGGGACAGACTGGGGAAATCACATTGGCATACTTGGGTGGGCTCTTAGGACTCAAGGAATCCGAAGAGCCAAGGGACGAATTGGTAAAATCGCTTGGAAGCCTAAGATCATTCATTGAACTTCCAAAGCTATCTATTGAAACGGATGAGATTTCCCACGTGTGTGGTCGCACGGCCCGCATATTAGGCTTAGAAGGGGCGACCCCACTTTTGGCACACCATTTTGATATCAAATCCTTCATAGAGTTATTGGGGGTCAACGAAAAGTGGGACAATGTCTTTCCGGTCTTTGGACAGGTGGCATGACCTTCATCAAACCATCTTTGTATCCACATCCTCTCATATGTCTCTCCAGAAGCAATCACGACAGGATCGTACATTAATCTTGACAATATAGGACATCTCAATTCATCAGGAGGTTCCTCATTTGATGTGGGTAAAGGATCTTCATGTTTTGGTACAGAGTCATAATCTGATTTATCTTTAAGGATTCTTTTTGCGTATTTGTTGAGAAGGTTTAGAAAGAAGAAGAGAATCTTCTTCTTTGACTGTTCGGAATCATTGGCTTGGTCCAGAAGTGATCTGATGGATCTTTTTTCAATGAGAAGAGCTTTCGGGGTGGTTATGTTAAGCATTAACATTGCAACTCGGATCGATTTTAGTGTGTTGTCTGTGGTGGGGCCAGATTCATACATGTATTCATGAAGTAAATCTTTGAGAACATTCCCGGCCTCCTCTTCAGAAGGCTCCAAGCTAAATCTTGCTTCTCTTAGATCAGCAACTAATTGAGAGATCTGCATGCATATTTTAATAGTTATGGTTAGCCAAATATAACGCCTTTTTGAATTAAGATTCGGGTTTCCGCCCTAAGAGATCTTACGGAGTATATGTTAGTCTATTATTTATATTTTAGAGATAAGAGATGAATGCCCAACCGGGTCCGAACGGGCTACTTCAAAAAATGGATACCAAACAAACCACAATTGCACTAGGATAAGAGGGTTAACACGATAGGCAGTATAACCCCATGATTTTATATGTTAATTTATTATTTTATATTTCACTGATGTGGAACTAATACTTCAACATTTTACGTATTTCAGGTTACATAGTTTAGGTAAATAATTATTTGTTATTCATCTCAATAAATAATGTTTTCTTTTTGGTCAGCTTTCATTTGAAAGAAAAACTGATCTATCCAGGTCATTTTTGAAAAAACTATGTCTTTAATTTGCATGTCATTTCCCATTGTGTGGGATACACCATAAATAGTTTGGTTATTAAAAAAACAATAAAAAGATCTTTCTTTCATTCTTTTACCTCTGCAGCCAGCATAACGGGAACCATATATTGCATCTCGCTTAAGCTTTGCTCCAACAACTTTGTTGACTTTTTGCATCTTGAGAGGATGGCATCTCCTGTTAGAGCCTGCAAATGTGGTAGTTAGAAAACATTAATATCATTTGACTATCAAAAGATGTAATAACTATAAACATGTGGTTTCGCACATGGAGAATCATAAGTAAAGGCGCAATCAGTCAATCACAAGACAAGATTCACAAGAATGACTTTATTGATCACAGGACCAAAAAATGTGTCATCTTCCATAGTTACAGACTTACAGAAAATTCGTAATGTTGTTTCCACTTGAGATGGAAGGTCGCAAAATAAGGGTGCATTTGGGATGACTTGTTTTCAACAATTAAGTGCTTTTGTTGAAAGAAATACATTGAAAGAAGTGTTTTTACCCATCACGGAAAAAAAAGTGCTTTTAATTCATAAATACACTATTTTTTCCCTTGTTTGGTAGAGCCTTTTGGAAACAATGTAGTGTTTGAATGAGAAAAAAGTTCTATACCAGCTCGATATATTAAAATCCAAAGAGTAAACCACAAGGGTAAAGTAAACCTTCTTTAAATAAAAGGATAAAACCTCATAAGTAAATAAAATAATATTTTTTACTCATTCTAACAATGCTAAAAAATGAAATACATAAAGTGTAACTGCATAGCTTAACTAAGCAACATGCTAAATGAATACATACCAGATAGAGCTTACTGGATTCACTGCAATACTGAAGTATCGACTTGGCCTTGACAATAGCATTGTTGAATATGCAAAGCGACTCTAATCCAGAACTGCATCGCGGTCGGGATGCTTCTATTTCTGGAAGTATTTTTGAGGCTCTACTTACAAACTTTATAAGCTCAGTGCACATTTGAAGATGCACCTGTACTCCATATTAACAAGAGGGGTGGATGTTAATCAATTACTTGGAAGGGAGAAAATGGAAAGATTTCAAGAAAGACAAATCAAAATTCCATGTGGATTAAAGTTTAAGAATCTGTTTGGTGAGCATAGTCAGGCTTTGCTTCTGCTGAGGGTGTGACTGAACGGCTAAAAGTGTTCATTTATACAATAAATATATATTTATAAGGGATGATTTTTCGAACAATATCTTACAGTCTTACACATATGAATAAGTAGTGTCTTTGACTATTTTCTTTGCATACCATTTTCAGGGCCCATTTGGGAAGGGTTATGGGCTGAAAGATGTGCTTAGTTTGTGAAGAGGCAATATCATCCTATCACATAAATTAAGGGACTGTTTGGGGATAATAAATTTAAGCTAATATAGTCGGGTGGTCAGAATTTGCTATGTGTTGTGGCTGAATATTTGGCCATGCATTCATAACTTAAAAACTACGTAGTAATATTTTTAAAAGTTAAGGATAAAAGTGCATTTGACTCTATTTGATCCAAAAAAAAAAATAGCCTCTTGATAATTTTTCTAATATCAGCTAAAATGAGTCAATGATAATCAAATAAAGTTAGTGTTTGATAATAATAAAAATAATAATAATGAGGATAAAACCCATAAGCCCAACAATACAGCTACCAAACGGGGAAGAGTGAAAACTTATAAAAGTTTTCATTTCAGTGGGAAGAGGGAAGAGTGATTATTATTATTCCATAAATTCAATACCTTAATGGATTGAGGAGATGGGGGTGCATCCGCAGCTTCAGTGGTATCACTTCCCATAGAGATAGGTAAGGGGTCGTGATTCAGTGATCCTGACAACAACTTATAGCCAACTGCCAGAATATTCACAAAAATGACAAACATTCACTTTTTTATTCTACTTGGACAGTTGAATGGTAATAAATAATCAAAGCCCCCATGTAATCTGTTTTACATAGCACTGATAGGTGATATGCCGAGGTAAAAGTTTCCCACTTTAACCCTCAACTAAAGACACATAAGCCCATTGTTTTCTCCATAATTCTTCTAGGGGAAGAATTATGAAGAAAAACATAAAGGGAAATTGGTAGGAAAACATCATTTTGAAATATACTACTTCAAAATCACTTCCTTTATTAATTTCTATCTTCAAATTCACTTCCTTTATTTATTTCTATTATTATATAAGGAAAATTCTTAGTGTACATGACTTGTACAAATTGTACACAAAACCCCCTAGTTGACTACCATAGTTAACACAATTCATTTTATTCGTTTTAAAAGAGGCAAAACTTGATATCATAAAGAAATATTTAACACTAAGCAATCCAACTATTTGTTAAAAGAAAGATTCTCATAAGAATATAGCTTATGAGGTTTTCCATTCAAATGTTAAAAGACAGACATGCTCAGAAGGTCAAGTTTTATGATTATGATTAAGGGGTGTTTGGAATTGATTCTGCTTCTGTTCTTTTTTAAGGAAGAAGCAGTTATAGAAGAATCAGAATAAGAATCAGTTTTTCAAAAGCTGATCACCCCAACTTCTAAAAAACTGATTCTGTGAGTAAAATAGAGCACCAGAATCACTTCTGCTCTTTTAGCCAAACACTCCAGCTTATGCTTCTGAAGGAGCAGAAGCAGTTTGAAGAATCAGATCCAAACACCCCCTCAGATAATCAAGGTTTTATACTTTTATCCATCAAAGAAGCTACACAGGAAAAGGGTCAGGTGAAAGAAGCTAAACAGGCAAAAGCATGTCAACAACACGTTTAAAAGAAGAACCTTTATGCCTACCGGGATTTAAAAAAAAAAGAAGAAGAACCTTTATGCAGGGAGAAAGAATTCAAAGAAAGAAATATTTACCTGGTGCAGGGAGAAATCAAACTTGAAAAGAATCAGTGGAATAAGAGTATGTATCCAACTCTCTACAGCCAGGCTTTGAAGAACCGCCAATTCCAAGCAAAGTTTCCAACTTTTAGGAATTAGCAAAAGAAAGAATTTCCAGATTTGTAGGACAAGAATACAAACAAACGCTCCCTTTTTCTCCCTTTAAGAACAGAAGGCTGAAATTTTGAAAGATAAGAATAGAATTGGAGCCTCAACAACAACCTGTGGTTCAACACAGGAAAACAGCTAATTATGAATGAATAACTCATAAAGTCGTCATTAAAGCAACCACCTAACTCACATAGGTGGAAGCAAAAGGACGAGGCGGCGGAGCCCAGCAAAACCAAACAGAGAGAGAGTGGGAAGAGAGACTTCGGGGTTGTGATGTTGGAGCATTCGACTAATGGGTGTTCTATCTCTTATTCGACTAATGGGTGTTTGGAACTTAAGTTAGAATCACTTCTGAAGTAGGAGTAGAATCACAATCCCTTTTCAGAACCACCCCCAACTTTAAAAAAAAATGATTCTATAAACAAAATTGAGACCAAAATCACTTCTGCACTTTCACCCAAACACTCTAGCTTCTGCTTTTGGTCCCTGAAAGAGCAGAAGCAGTTTTAAGAATCAGATCCAAACACCCCCTAATTCTACTAAAATTTATGAAGTTTTCACTAAGTGGTTGCATTGAAATATTCGACTGATTTAAGAAAAAAATAATTTTGAAATATGTTTTACTAATAAAATAATGAAAAAATTGTATATAAAAATAGCTAAAATGGTCATGTACATTAATTTCAATCAATACGGCCACAAAAGCAACTTCAATCTTACTTTTTTGTTATTATTATTACACAATTCAGCGCGCGAAAACAAAAGTTACGTGTTTGATGAAAAAGTTGGCTGATAAACTTGATAAGCCAAAAAACAATGCTACCAAACGGCCTCTTGATTTTTTTGGAGATCTGTATCAAAATTCAACCACATGAATTAGAAGTTCGATTGATTTAATAATTTGGTTAAACGGTCAAATATGTCCTTATACCCTTCTGGATTCTCAATTTGCCCCTCGAACTCAAAAAGCTCTAATTGACATCCTTAACTCGATGAAAAGATTCAAATTTCACTTTTTGCATCTCACAATCCGGTCACCGCCACATCACCCGGTAGGGTTCCAACTGTGCATGTAACGTGACAATTTAAGTGATCAAATAAGCCCCTTAACGTGATTAAATCGTTTAATTCACCCCCTCAACTCTTAACGTGAAAAATAGAAATAAAAATGAAAAATGGAAGAAGAAAAATTATAATAAAAAATAAGTCGAAAATATAAATATAAATACGAAATATTTATATATTTTTTGGTAAATTCAAAATAAAGAAATAAAATACCATAAACTAAAACAAATTAATTCATATAATACGTAAAAAAGACTTCAATATTAAATTATTATTTTGTCATTTAAGAGTGTTAATTATTTTCTAAAATTATTTAAGTGGGATGTCTTTTAAAGGCAAATGAGAACTTTAAAGACCTTTTCCCATGAATTTACTAAATTAATTCAAAAGAAAAAAGATTCTTACGAGTTTCCAAAAAATTACTACCTCCGTCCCATTCTTACGAGTGTCAAATGTGTCTCAGTTTGACACGACACTGTTCTTAATGAAATGGTTAAAAAGATAAAAGTTGTGGTTGAGATTTGAGTATAATAAAGTGAAATGGTGTAGACCACATATTTCTTTCCAAAAAGAAAAAGGAGACACTCATTTTGGGACAACCCAAAAAGGAAAATAGGACAGGTAAAATGGGACGGAAGAAGTATATATTAAGTGACTAGCTTCCAGTGATTCATAATCTACCGGTGATTTGTCACTCAGAAATAAATTATAGTGACTTTGCCTGTTACTCGTACATAATAATTAGTCATATTTTGGTCTCAAAATCATTTTTTTCAACTTTTAAACTAAGATTGAGGAAGTACTTGTTATCCTCGTATTTAAACTAGTTTCTTACTCCGTATAAATAACAATTAATTTTGTTTGAAAATTGCATATGTTTGACTAATGACTACCTTTTGCAAATGTTTGATTTGTTTTTATTTTTTGCGTATTAATAAGCATAGTCTAATCACATTCATTCATTATGATAAAAGGAAAATAGGAAGGGGTGTGAATTGTCGGGAGCATCTTGTTGTCAAAACTCATCTCGTCAATGAACAAAACCCAGTGACAAATATTGTGCGTATCTATTAACTCAGTTATAAGATTTGAATTGCAGCTTTTTAGCCACGGATTCCACACTGTTTTGCTAACAGCAATTTCCTATTTCCTTTCTTGTGCTTTGATGGGACTCAACTCGCTCTACCCTATTAATTTCATCTTTTAGAATCCAACTTGTACTAAGAGCCCGTTTGGTAGCACCAAAATCGGCTGTTTTGGCTGATTCTGCTGAAATTTATGATATTCTGGCTGGAGTGGCTGTTTTGGCTGATTCTGCTGATTTAAGAAAAAAATATTTTAAAAATATATTTTATTAATAAATTAAAGAAAAAATTATATGTAAAAATAGCTAAAATGGTCCTCTACAGTAACTTCAGCCAATACAGCCAGAAAAGTAACTCCAACCTTACTTTTTTGGCTTATTACACAATTCAGTGCGCGAAAGTAAAAATTACGTGTTTGGTGAAAAAGCTGGCTGATAAGCCTGATAAGCCGAAAACAGAGTTCTCCAAACGGGCTCTAAATTTTGCTTCTTTATGATAACTATACATGCCTTTATTTTTACTAAAGTTTTTTATGTTAAGTTTTCCCTTTGTATCAATTAGGAGTATAAATAAATTATAAAAGTAGATGTAACTATTAGGGCTGGGGAAAAACTCCTGACTCCCGACTCCCGACTCCCGATCCCGATCCCGACAATTCCGATCCCGATAATCCCGATCCCGACTAGTCGGGAATTTTTCCCGATCCTGACTAAGTCGGGACGGGATCGGGATTTTCTTTAAAAAAAAGTCGGAATCGGGAAAATCCCGACATCCCGACATTATATATATATACACACACACACATGTATAGAATTATATATGAATATATAAAAAATGAATATGTATCTAAATAATTTTCATATGTTTTTTGATTACTTATTCCTTACATAGATTAATATTTTACTACGAGTATCTTACAATATCAAACTTCTAAAACTATTTGGCATTTGTCCCAAAATGAATATTCGGGATCCTAATTAAATAGAGATTATTCTTGATCCCGACAATCTAAAACACAACAATATTCGGGATCCTAACTAATCATAATATGTATTTATACATTATATTCGTTGGTCACAAAGTTTCTAAATGAGTCTACTTAGTTTTGAATTTGAAATAATATACGTTACACATCCTTCTATTAGTGATTTTTATATAATGTTTGAAGTAAGTTTCACTAAGCCTTGATAGCTTATTCAAAAATTATACTATTAATTAATTGAAGTTACAAATAAAAATTATTCTAAAAGTATGTACTAGTGTGAATTTGTGATGATAATTATTACAATAAATTTTATAAGTAGATGATGATAAATATGGTATAACAATGAACAAAGAATAATCTTAAAACCATTAAATATCAAAGTTAGTGTTTCACTAAAGAAATTACATAATTTTATGTTTGATACTTCATTGTCGGGATTTAGCAGGATTCCCGATCGGGATCCCAACTTAACCGGGATTTTAATGTCGGGATCCCGACTTAATCGGGACGGGATACGGGATCCTCTTGTAGTTTGAATCAGGATCGGGATCATCCTGATCCCACCCCTACTAACTATACATAATGGTTATCCACAACTTGTTCAGTTTGGTTTCTTATTAAGAAAATTATGAGCCCTATTGGTAACCATATTTTTTTTTACTTATCAGGCTCATCGGTCAGTCTTTTTTACCAAACACGTAGCTTTTGATTTCACACGCTGAATTGTGTAATAATAAGGGGAAAAAATTGGAGTTACTCTTCTGACAATATTGGTTGAAGTTATTGTAGAGGACCATTTTAACTTTTTTTTACATATATTTTTTTCTTTATTTTAATAATAAAAGCTATTTAAAAAAAAAACGTTTCACAAAAGTTGGAAGTTGACCCGTGCTCGAGTAAATGTGATAGGCCCAATTGCTCTCTCTCCTAGGATTATTTTGGCATTCCTTCAGTTAGAATATGATTTTAGGTGGCTTTGATTTTAGGTGATTTTAGGTGCCCATTTAGCCGGTTTTAGTATTACCAAATGGGTTCTATATTTTTATTGATTATTTTTCTTCCAATGGAGTGGCTCTTTTTGTCCATTAGTGCCCTATTGCAAATAAAAAGAAAAAAGCAAAGCAACCTCGTGATGATGGTAATTCCCAAGTAACAAACGAGATTGTTTAGTTTTTCCTATGTATCAAGTATAAATGTAGATATATATATATATATATATTAGGAAATAAATGCAGCTCATTTGGTAACATTAAAATTGACAGAATCTTCTTAAATTTATGAAATTATGATTGAACGGCCACTAATCTCTTATACAGTACTTATTTATTTCCTATAGATTTTGGAATTAAAGTATTGAATAAAATAGTGATTTTTAAAACAAAGATTATTTTGGAACAAAAGTATTGAATAAAGTGATTTTAAAAGAATAATTATTTGAGGGCAAAGCGGCGTTATCTAAGGAAATGCTAAAACATCAACACACAGGCAATTAATTCCATGATAGCTACCTTCCCTTTTGATTAGTATATGCATATAATATAATAATAAAATAATAATACGAGTACGTAGTAATAAATAAGCAGTGGGGACTAAGCAGGCGCATGCATGACCACGTGGTCTTCACATTCTCAAAGGACGCAGTAACAATCGTATTTATTGACCTTTTATTTATATATTTATTAATTAAAAACTTTTCTTCTTAAATTTATTACTTCTTAAATCACAAAACAGTAAGGATTAGTATTGATTGTGACTTAATTACTTCTTTGTTGAGTATTTTTTACAAGAGTACAAGACTTCTTTGTTGAGTTTGTGCTATGGATTTCTACCTACATCTCGTAATTGTGATATATATTCAAGTTTTTTATTCCTTTTATATCTAACATTCAATCCAATAATATGTGTAAAAAAAATGCCCACAGACATTAATAACTAACTCCAGTTTTACCAATGTTTCGATCGTCTTGGTTTTTCACATATTTTGTTCTTGAACCTTTCTAACTATAAATGTGCATGATCATATGTAAAACTATGAAATGGAATTAATGAACTCTTACCCATTTGAGTAAAATAAAAGCATTATGATTTATGAACCGCAAATAATTTGTCAAAATTTAGTTAATGAATGATGCTGAAGAAGGTCAACGCCACGGGCTCGAGGGACGGTAAATTACATGGTACAGCCGGTTGTACCGTGCGCACGGTACAG